CCACATCTCAAAGAGTTTGGGAAGCAAAACACCAGGCAAACAGCATTAGGCTCCAGCAGCTTTGCATGACTCCAGTTAAGGCTCAGAGCTGGGGGAGACCTGCTTACTGCCGTAGTGTCCCGTCATAGAGTGCCTTCACCTTCAAAACGCACCATCTCAAGGACCATGACAGACCGTTGACCCCCGAGACAGCTGGTGAAAGGGCGCTGGGGTCCACACTAACACACAACAGAGAGAGTGGAGAAGTTCCTGAGAAATCCATCTATTTTATGGAAGCTAAACCGCATAGTACTGCTGGTAGGCAGTGGTTTTCAGCTTCTTTGCACTGAGCAGAATTGCTTTGTGAAAAATTTCAAGCAAAATTGAATGGAATTTCTTTTCTGGCGCTCCATTTGACATGTCTGAGCCGCTGCAGCACGATCTAGAGTATGGCTGTTTGTTTACTACAGTTCAAAACTGTGTCATGAAACACATATTATATGACTAGCCTAGAAATGCACTGAGATTTCAAAGACAGAATTGCTCTGAGCCTTTTTATTAAATGAAACATCCATTTTCTCCCAGGCAGAAATCACAGCGGTATCCATCGTAAAAATGATCAATAAAGCATTGGGTTGCAACTCCTGCTCTCTAGTTTAATTTTGTTATTGAAATAACAGTTTCTTAGGGCATGGAATTTCCTGGGGATTAATAACTGATGTTAATAAGTCACCCACCCCTTCGCGCTTCTTATTTATTTCCAGAAAGAACCCCCTGCCCAAACCATAGGAACTAAGATTAACGTACTTGCTAGCGGTATGCATGCTCGTACCCAGCTGCCCATGCTATGACCATCTGCATCATCCGCAGGTGATGCTAAGAAGCAAAAGCCACCATCGATTTTTTGGGAATAATTTTCTGGAAAACCTTTTTAAAATAATGCTTTAGAGCCTGCCACATCTGACTCATTATAGCACCAGGGAAAATGGAGACGGGCTGCTTGCACGGGAACCTATGCACCAAAGGCTATTTATGAAAAACACATTCAGAGCACAGATTTTTAAGTGATTTTTCCCCCATCCCTGGCTGTCTTCAAGGCCAGGCTGGATGAGGCTTGGAGCAACCTGGTCTAGTGGAAGGTGTCCCTGCCCATGGCAGGGGGGGTGGAACTGGGTGATCTTTAAGGTCCCTTCCAACCCAAACCAGTCTGTGATTCTAAGATTCTATTATTTAGGATTGTGGTGCTGACCAGAGGACAATTTGGGCACATGCACTGCTTTGTTTTTATCTTATACGCCTTTCTTTTGGTATCATTCAAGTAAAAAACGGAAATAAGCACAGGTGTTTGTTGGTAACTAGCCTTAAAATTGCAACACATTTGAGTAAACAGATCCACAAATGGGATCATCTAGGAGAAGGATTAGCTTCAGCTCCCTACGCCCATGACTCCTGGATCTGATGTCTCTTTTGACATTGGCACTACTTTGAGAAGTCATTTCTACATGAATTTCCCAACAAAACTATTTTCCTAACGAAAAACACTCTACTGACAAAGCTAATCTGTTTAAGAGAAAAGGGTTGTTCTGAAAAATGTCCCTTCTCTAGAAATGCCATGGAGGAAAGTTTCAAAATTATCACAGAATCCTGTGAAAGGAGGCTTTTTTCCATATAAATCTTTGACATCATCAGTTAGATAATTGCAAAAAATGATGTAAAACCCCAAAATACATTCAAGATCAAAATCAAAGCCTCCATTAAATTAGCAACATGAATTGCTTAGCTGTTAGACAGTTTTTAAACCCGTGAATTCTTGGCATTCAACGCTTTTTTTCTGGAAGGGTAGGAATGGGAGATTGCAGATGGGCAAGAATTTGTTCAGTACTGGACAATTAGTGTGGACACAGGAGTCAAGACATTGCTTGCACCAAAACAAGGCAGTGGGAATTTCCACTGGTGGCCTTGCTGGTCGTGGGTTTGGCACTGTAATCCTGATCCTTCCGGAAATCCACAGCAGTCTTGTCCCTGGCTATGCCCAGTTTGGGATAATAGCTCGTACCTTTGGGTGTGCTGAAGTCTGAATGCTGGAATCCTGCGTCTCAACCACACAGACACGGCAGTGACCTTGCAAAAATATTGCTCACCCTCCCGTGATCTTCCTAACAGATGAGAAACCGGAGCTTGGAACTGCTTCCCACCACCACCCCCACTTGTTGTTCAGCTTGTGAATTTTACTAGCTGTCAACGTGTCAAACTTCCACTTAGCTGGACAGCTGCGTGACCAGCCAGACTCCGAGGCCTGCCAATGAAGTTTAACAGAGCTATCAGCTTTTCACATGAAAGAGATTATGGTACATGAATCCTCAGGTGTGAGAGAACAAATGAGACTTAGGTAAGTTCACCTTTCACATGGTAAAGCAGAGAGGTGAGGAGGAAAAAGAAGCAGAGTGATAGACAGGCACGCTTATTTGGGGTCAGTGCTTGTACAGTGATTAACAAAATAGGATGCTAGTGCAGGGGTGCTGTCTACACAGAGTAAGGAGGCCTGAGAACAACACCCAAGCTGTGATTCAGAGACCTGGGTGTGATCTGGGCCCCATCTAGCCATGGCCGTGCAGCAGACAGGCAGCACTGGGGTCCAGAAGATGGATGAAGCAATGACCAGACATCGAGGAGCGGTGAAGGCTGCTCTCGAGTCTCTTTTGTGACTATGGATGACAAAGTACTTTCACATGTCTACCTCCCATTTTCCATAATAACACGATAAGCTTTTGGAGACAAGATAGATGGGTGGATGCTGGCATGGCCCTTAACACCCAGAAACCCTGATCTCATCTGGCCCTACTGTTATTACAGCCATCTTTAATCCAAAGCACGTCTCTTGGCCTTAAAAAATCTGTTGAGACAGAAGCAAGCCTATGAGGTGGTAGAAAATTGCCTGCTGGATGGGTACATGTGTGGATGTGTGTGGCTTTTTTTTTTTTTTTCCCCACAAGAACTTGATTGACTAATGTTTGTAGGTCCCGAGAGCCAGTAAAAGATCTGCTCTGATATCCAGAAAATTTTACAAGGGGCGGCAGGCTTAAAAGTGGTGGGAAGAAGCTGACTCTGCCAGGATGTTGGAATGAGAAAGCCATCAGGAATGTGCCTCGGAGAACAGCTGCTACTAGAGCCCTGGCAAGAACCTCCACACAAGCTGCCTGGGAGCAAGTAGGGGGATTCGGAAATCACAGCTTGAAACAAGGGAAAGGTTCTCTTTATTTATTTATTTAGCTTTCCCTTTCTGTTTTTGCCTCCCTCCTTTCTCCCAGCCTTGTCACAGTGAGGTCAGAGTGCCTTGGAAAAGAGAGAACCTGCCTCTGGGTTTTGCACTCCCTGGCACTTCAGGGATTTTCTCCTCCTCTCCAGCATCCCCACAGCACGGCTCATCCAACACAGGCTTCTCTCACTCCATAAAAAGGTGTTACCTAAACTCTGTTCTTGAAACTCCTTTTTGTTGAGTCTGTTTGCCACAGAAACATCTCTTTTTATTCCCCCCTTAACATCTTATATCCATCTACACAATTAAGAGCCTTCAGAAATAGAATATGGAAAACAAAAATGAAGGAATTCAGACATTCCAACTTTTGGTAGCTTAGTCACCTTAATTAGCCACTTTCCCAGGCTCCATCTATCTATGAACCCACATGGCTAGCAAATTAACATTACTACTGTTGAATACTCTGGCATGGTCTTTTGGCTAAGATCGAAACTACAAGCAGTTTAAAGCTTCCTAGAGTTCCTTGTTGCAGTTTCCAAAGCCAAATCTTGAGGGATGATGGATTCAGGAAAATCCAGTATCTCCCAAGGCAAAGCTGGAGGAAGGTGAGAGGACATCTGCTGCAGTGCTGTGACAAGCTTAACGCTTCTTTGGGAAAGCAGGCTAATGGGAAAAGTCCTTAACCAGTGAATGTCCCAGGAGCAGGGAGAAATGTCCATTCCCAGACAGCTGGGGGAAAACAGCAAAAACTTTTGGCAGTTTTGGCTTCGGAGAGAATACATCAAGCTCATTACCCTGAGAAGAGCAGAACAAAAAATCCCTGTTTTGTTTTGGAAGAGCTGGTTAATTGACTGACTGTTTCCTTGTCACAAGCCTGGGGTAGTCTTTCCCTCATCTCTAAGTGCCCACGATTCAACCCTTGGCTGCATGCACAGGGACCCCTGTGCTTAGCCTGAAACCTAATCGCACTGGGCACACGGAGGACGGACTGCTGGGGTCTCCATTTCACTTCTTTAACCCAGCATAATCCCCAATCCCTCCCCCTTTCCTTCCCCTTCCCCAAGGGACTCTATTATACCCCCCGATCTGTTCACACTCCTTATCCCTCTGCGTGTTTGCACACACTGCTGACCCAGCCTTTATCTGGAAGACATAAGGGTCTCTGTGTGGAGTTCCCACAAGGGCTATTAATCGTGTAGATGTCAGAGTCCCCCGGCTCCAAACCCTCCCTTCCTGCTCCTCCCCTCTTCTTCCCTCCCCCCGCCCTTTTTGTGCTCTCTGGAGATTGAGGGAAAGAAAAGTTTTATGAAAATTCACACACAGAACTTGCAAACTTTGCAAAATATGATCCTCTCCCTTGGGCAAGGTTGGTAAATGCTGTGATTTCTCCTAAAACGCCAAATACAAACAGAGACACACACTGCTTCCTCCTCTGCAAATGGAGGAATTTCCTCAAACAGAAAACAGAGCTAAATGCCTTGCCAAGTTAGGGAAAGTTTGGCTCCTGGTCCCAACCTGGATGGAAACCCTCCAGCTGGTACCTCTGCCATGGGCCAAATCCAAATGGTGTATCTGCAAATCCATGGGAACGTGGGAATCTGCAGAACTGGATTTAAGTCTCAGATCCTTGTGAATGTGGCCCCAGAGAAGAGGCATATCCACACTACCACCTTTCAACACCCTCATCCCCAGAGGCTGTTTCCCAAGGGAAACAAGAAGCTGTGCCCCCAGGCTGACTCGACCCTGCAGTGGCTCTAGTCCTTACCTGAACTCGGGCCTCGGTGAGCTTGGTTCTCTGAGCTAGCTCCTCCCGTGTGTAGATGTCTGGGTAGTGGGTTCTCTCGAAGGCCTTCTCCAGCTCCTCCAGCTGCTCCGCCGTGAAAGTGGTTCGACTGCGACGTTGCTTGCGCTTCAAAGGCAGGTCTGGTTCGGATTCAACGTCAGAGCCTTCGTCCAGTCTGTTCCCTGGGGTGGGAAAGAAGTGGGAGATGAGGCTTGCATGGTTAAAAGAGAGGGAGAAAGGCTGTTGGAAGAGTTACGCAGCCCAGCAAAGTAATCTCAGATTTACTGGGATGGTGTCCATCAAAACAAATACTCTGTCCATGTGTAATAAATACATCCACCAGTTTTCTACTATATCTGTAGTTTCCTGTTATTTTTCCCCCATGTTGTAAAAAGCCCACCTATCAAAATCAGAACTGTTAGCAGGAAAGGAATGGTTCAAAGTCCACTACTGAAATTGTCACAGTGAATGAACTTCCCGTTGTTGACTAAGTTATTTCAAGAAATTTCCATTTTCTATTTGAAATTAACATTTCAGAGTTGCATATTTTACACTGAAAAAATTGAGAAGCTGAAATGAGCGCATACAAATGTCAATACACGATGTTTTGCCTTGTGCAGCCTAATTTCCTCTTGCATTTTGTCAAGTATCGGTGTTTAAGATATCAATTTTAAGCGACCTTAGAAAGAAAAACAGAAAAATCTGGAATTTATATAGCTGGGAAAAATATTTCCAGCTCTCCATCACCTGTAGGTTGGGCATCCCACAGGATACAGTCCCTCTTCTCCTCAATTCCCAGATTTCAACAGGAGTTTTGTACAAGGCCAGACTCCTACAGCATTAAATGTCATGGAAGTCCTTCACCAACATCTAATTGGTCACTAATTTCCTTCACCTTCATTGCCCGGGACCTCTGCCTTTCCCTTCTCCCTGCCTTGAGCCCAGCACCACATTTGATGTCCCCTGAGGCCCTTCTCAAACCTGGGTAAGTATAGATGGAATAAGTAAGCCCAGTTTTGCTCATGTTTTGTCTGGACTTAAGGCAGAAGGCACTACACATTGATATTCACTGTGGATTTTAGAGGTGACTCACCAAGAATAGTGTCAGCTCTGTCTAGTGTGTGCCAGAGGCCTCGCATGGGGCGAAGCTTGGGTTTCAAAGATGTGCGATGTGCAGGTTATCGGTTCCCTGTGGTGCAGATGTTGATGTATGGAGGATCCCAGCCAGGCCAAAACTTTATGTCTGCCTTTGGAACAGTGAAAAATGTGCCACTGGTTCATGGCAGCAGAGAAGGAAGAATATGATATATGAAACCTTTCAGCTAGGTGATAGATCTGGCCTCTTGTCACTTTTTCCTTCTCTCTCATGAAAATAGGGGACTCATTAAATGTGAATTTACTTCTTTTCCTACCAAGCTTGAGTGCTATCTTTCAGAGTAAGTGCAGACAGAGCCAGAATCTGCTTAAATACTGTGCTCACTGAGAAATGTTTTTTCTTTTGAGTAAACCTTTGCTGATACAGGTTTAAAGCAAGACTTACATGTGCCTATCGTGACGATAAAGTTCCCTAAAATTACTAATAGTGTTTTTCAGTCCTTGCTTTTTGTTCTACTTCTATACTATCATCCTCCAAAAATCTGCCTTATTCTTTTCAGAGCTGGGAACGGCAGCTGTGACTTCCCCAACAGCTGCTCGAGAGCAGCGGCAGTTTGAGGAGTATGAGGCAAATATCCCATCGGGCCTCACTTGTTTATACTGAGATCACCACAAAATGCCATCGCATTCAGCTTGCTGCAATACAAAAATGCTTTTATGTCTTGGGGCTTCACGGGGAAGATGCGGTGTTGTAACTCAGCTAGCTACAGTTGTGCTGGAGTCAGAAACTCTGCTGCAGGAGTGGATGGCTTGTTCTGGGGGGAAAAATAGCCTCTTAAGAGGTTTTCTCTTCTTCTAGGTCTGGCTTACCAATACACAGGGTCTTTACACATGTTCATCTTTTTAATACAAGAACTGTTTAATTCTCACTGAAGTCAGGAAACTCACTGTTGACCTCAGAGGAGCAGCATCTGTCACACAGTTTAAAGATAGTTCTACTGTACACAGCAGAAATGTGTTAGTGAACTAGCTTTTTGGGTTTGTCCATTTTCAGAGAAGGTCTAGAATCTCAAGTGGTGTCAGAAGAACATCTGTACTTGAAAGTCACAGCCCTCTACATCTGGACCCCAGATGACTCGGGGCAGGTAGAAGCACATCTGGACCTTGGAGTACCATGCTGTGCAAAAGCACATCTGGAAACCTATAGCATACAGTAAATGTCTTTAAGTTAATCACTTAAGTAACTGACTATTATTGGTTTAATTAGTATCTTTTCTGGAAAAACTTGATATGAAAAAAAGTAAGGATGGAGGTATGCTTGGGTCCAGGCTGTGAGAGGGCCAGTGTGAGGAAGGGGAAGGAAAATACACCAGGTGAAATGTCATTTAACTCTCAGCTGAGCATATTTCTTTACAGTAAATAAGCATTTCCATGTAATAAGTATGCATGCTTAGCAGCAACTTTCAGCCTGTGAGCTCTTTAGCACAGGAATTGTCATTTGCAGCATGTTTCACGCCTGGGGCAACGAAGCCCCAACCTGCTTGGCAAGTGCTATGGTGACAGCAACGTCAAAATGACATTTTAAGATCTAAGTCTTCTCTTGGCCACTTGATAGCAATGCTGTAACATCTCCCTACAGCCAGTCCTCTTGCTTGGTCCAACTGCTACTCAGTGTACAAGACACCCAGGATCTGATATCTCCCCAGGTGAGGAAAAAAAGGCCTAGAAAGGATCTGTACCATGTTTCATCTCCCACACTTCACTTTGCTCACTTTTTTTTTTTTTTCTGCAAAAGCCTGGGAGGGAAAACAGCCCAATTTTCTTCAATAGCTTTATGCTCCTAATTAAGGATCCCTGAAGTGGCCACAAAGTTTTGGTAGCGGACAACTGATTGTCATGAGTAGCAATCTCATCGCAGCAGCACCAGCATCTGTGTTGGCCATGCTGGCTACAGGGTTGCAAAGGTAGAAAGCCAAACCTTGCGATATAAACTGACGTAACACTTTCTATCCGCAAGACTCCAAACAGCTCCCAACCGGCATTATCTCCATTTTACAACCGTGGCAGGGATCGCGGAAGTCACCCACCTACGGTCAACCCTGTGAGTCAGGAGCAAGGCTGGGAAAAGAAGCCACAGCTCCCCGTGCCAAGTCCGAGGCTCCAACAACCCGACTACAAAGATGAAACCAAGAGAGGAGGAAAAATCCCAGGACATGTCTGGAACCAGCTGGCCTCAGTACGCTGCAGCTGCTGCTGTCAGACACAGATTCATTAAATAATATAGAACGGTTTTCAGCTGAGACAGGCTGCAGCACTAGCCTATTATCTATTGCATCCCTGTTATCAGGGGACAGCTTCCCTTACCTGTCTAAGATGCAACTCAAGGATCTAAAAGGTCTTTTCCATTCCCAAACAGCTGAAACCTGCTGGAACAAACACTGCCATCATCTCTACAAAGTTTCTGTGCAATGAGGTTTACAAAGCTGCAGGAGTAAGTAGCAGGACTTGCTAGGCAAATCCAGGGAGATTCATCCAAAACTGGAACGCTTTGCTTTTTGCCCCACATCCTTGTGTGAAAAAAGGATGTTTAGCACTGCCAGCAGCATGAGCAGGGGCGAATCCCAGTTTGCAGCCTCCAGTACAACTGGGCAATTGCCGTAGAAATCATCGTTAGCGTGTGCTGGTAGCATTTTACACTTACTCAGCACGGGCAGCAATGAACACCCTGTAAATACGAAGGTGGAGAAATATCTAGCAGCAGCTTCTTGTGTGGCTTACCAGCCCTTAGTTGTGATGAAGGATGGGAAACAGCTAGCTGTCCAGTATGCAGCTCCCATAGGATATCATAGTGGCTGAAGACT